GTTCGAAATCGGCTCGTGTTCGAAATGACTCGTGAACAGTGTGTTCGTGTTCTACTCGAATAACATTTTCATGTTCGTGTTTGGCTCAAAAATGGCTCGTTAGAATATAAAATTATTTAATAAATATTATTTTTTTTAAAATAATAATTTTGTCAAAAAAATTTTCAAGGACAAATTTCAAAAGATTTGGGTGGTATAAATATTTTGAAGCTTTAAGAATAACAAAAATGAAAATGCATTGACTTCAACTTCAATGAAGGAGGTTTTAAGAAATGTTGGTTTATCCTAAGCCAACATAAGGAAACAAAATTTATTTATATTGCAAACAGCGGGATGCCAACCTACTATCTCATTTCCATCATCTTTTGAGAAATGCCCCTCCAAACCAGAATCCATCAGCATCAGAAAGTTCATACCACGAATTAGGTCAAGTGCCTGTAAAAAAAGATGCAAGACCTTTGACAATTTTTTACACTATCAACTACTCAAATAAACATCCTGTATTATGAGAAACATACAATTGAAAATTAGCATTATGGTAAGGAATAAAACATACTCCAAGGCCTGTGGTATAGCATTTAGAGAATGCAGATTTAGATGCCATTTGTATGAAGTTAATATCATGGCTAACTATAGTTTGGCGTGCATCTAAATTATTGTGTCATAGAAGAAAATAAACTTATTTGCATGTATGACACTCAATTTTTGCATCTTTCCTCTAGTCCTCCTCCGCAAGACAATAAATAAAAATTATAACATAAAAATTTGAGTTTATTTTTATTAACATAAATGCAGAAAAAAAAATTATATATTCTCAAATAACATTATTTGCAAATGGAAAGAAGCTAGCCCTGTTCAAATCAAGACTGGTTCAAATCAAGACTGGTTTATATAGAGTATGAAGCAACTCAGAAAAATTGCTCATTGAGCTTTTTATTGGATGAAAGAAAATGAAAAAAAAAATTAGGATGATTTGCACACATGGATGATTTGCACACTGATTTGCACACATACCACTCTGATTCCTATGCATTACATTAAAAAAAGGTGGTATGTTTGATGTGATATGAAAGATTTGGGTGGTATAAATATTAAAGTTTAGGTGTTAGATATGTAAATATGAAAATTCCTCTTATGAACAAGCATAAATTTAAAATTTGAAGCTTTAAGAATAACAAAAATGAAAATGCATCGACTTCAACTTCAATGAAGAAGGTTAGCATCTGAAGAAGAAGCTTTAAGAATAACAAAAATTTTTTACACTATCAACTACTCAAATAAACATCCTGCATTGTGAGAAACATACAATTGAAAATTAGCATTATGGTAAGGAATAAAACATACTCCAAGGCCTGTGGTATGGCATTTAGAGAATGCAAATTTAGATGTCATTTGTATGAGGTTACTATACATGGCTAACTGTAAGTTTGGCGTGCATCTAAATTATTGTGTCATAGAAGAAAATAAACTTATTTGCATGTATGACACTCAATTTTTGCATGTATTTATATATCTAACACCTATACTTTTAATTTATAAGCACTCTTT